AAGGACCCCAGAGACTCTTGGTCGATGATCAGTAGAGGTCCAAAAGGTGAACACGTTGTGGTAGAGGTTGATGTAGGTGGCCGCAAGGTGGGCGCCTTCGCAGACATAGGCTCTACACGAAACTTCATCAGTCGTGCTTGTGTGGATAGACTGCGCTTAGGGGACCAAGTGCAGCGGCTTAGCAGAACTGTAGCTTCTACGCTAGCCAACAAGCACCAAATGGTGGTAAAGGACTATGTCAAGGACATAGTCTGTACCTTCTCTTATTGAGGAGGGGAAGTGAGACATAAAATCTCATTCCTCGTTCGTGACGAACTGCCCTTCGACATGTTACTAGGCATGTACTACCTCGAGGTTGCTTAGCCTCAATTTGATTGGGATAGGAAGGTGTTGATACACAAGCTGCCAAACAGTCGGACCGTTAAACTGCAAAAGTATAAAGCTAGCAGTCTAGTGGAGAACTACGGCTGCATGTGTGCTTCCTCTTTCTATAACTACTACAAGCAGAATCGCGAGGAGGGCATGTATCTAGTCTTTGTCTCTCAAAAAGGGGAGGTCGTTAAAACACCCCCAGAGATAGAATTAGTCGTCGCAATATATTCAGACCTTTTTGAGGAGCCCACAGGCGTGGTAGAAAGGGAGGTGGTCCATGCGATAGAGGTTGTCCCAGGTAGCAAGGTGCCTAGAGGACGAATCTATAGGATGTCTCCTGCGGAGTTGGATGAGCTCCACCGCCAGCTTAAGGAGCTCACAGAGAAGGGATGGATTCGGCCTAGTACCTCCCCTTATTGTGCGCCAATCTTATTTGTCCCAAAGAAGGGAGGTACCCTGAGGATGTGCATTGACTATAGGGGCCTCAATGCCATCACTGTTAAGAACGCGGAGCCCCTCCCCGCATCGACGACCTCTTGGATAGAGTGCAGGGATGCCGGTACTTCACCAAGATATATCTGAAGTTCGGATACCATCAAATTGCCATTAGACTCGAGGACCAGCAAGAGTTTGCGTTCTCTCAACGAAGAAGAAAGACCTCCGCGGATCTTATCCGGAGGAAGGCTCTTATTCGTCTGCGAAATCTGACTGACCCTCTTCACTGCCTGTAAGGGTTGGTTTCCCTCCCCAGCTACTATAGGGCCTCCGTGTTGCGACCTAAGTTGCTTACATCCCATGGTTACATATATCTGGTGTTTACCTGTAGCTGAACACCGGTTGCCGCATAGCCCTAGTGGATTTATCCACCACATCGTCCTACGAGGTAGGCACCCCCGAATTAGTGTTGATTGGGCGGACAGGTACGGTCTGTACGAGTTTGTGGTGATGCCCTTTGGCCTATGCAATGCACCTGGTACATTCCAGCACGCGATGAACAGGATATTTCATGAATACTTAGACAAGTTTATCGTCGTGTACCTCGACGATATTCTTATCTTTAGTAGGACTGTAGAGGAGCACGCTGAGCACTTGAAAATAGTGCTAGGTCTCCTAAGACAGCACCAGTACAAGGTTAACTTGGAGAAATGCGAGTTCGGTCGCACCAAGATCTTGTACTTGGGTCATGAAATCTCAGCAGATGGATTGAGGTCGAATGATGCTAAGGTGGCCAACATACGTGACTGGCCCAGACCTCATACTGTTACTGAGGTCTGATCGTTTTTGGGGATGACGGGCTACTATCGTCCGTTTGTTAAGAACTATAGTACTATAGCTTCCCCATTAACAGATCTAACTCGACTTGACACCCCTTGGGAGTGGACTGAAGACTGTGAGGCTGCCTTTAGGAAACTGAACTATGCCCTGACCCACTATGAAGTCCTCAAACTTCCTGATGTTGATAAACCCTTTGTTGTGACCACAGACGCCAGCCAATATGGCATAGGCGCGGTCCTTGCGCAAAAGGAGGGGCCAAAGTTGAGACCAATCGAGTATATTAGTAAGAAGATGCTATCTCAAAAGCTAGCAAAGTCCACGTATGAGCGTTAGCTCTATGCCCTATATAGAGCGCTGGTTCATTGGAGGCATTATCTCCTAGGCAAATTCTTCTACGTGAGATCTGACCATGAGACCTTGCGTTGAATCAAGACACAGCCTGTGCTCTATAATGCACTCAAGCGATGGATACAAGTGATAGACATATATGACTATCAACTTGATCCAATCAAGGGAGAGTACAAAAAGTGGCTGATGCATCATCTCGTCGGGCAGATTATCTGGGCACGTTTAGTTACTGAATTTGGCATATCTAACGATCTAACTCAATCATTGGTGGAAGCTTATCAGCAAGATCCAGTTATGTATGAGATCATCCGTAAATTCCAAGCGAAGGACAAAGTGACTTTGGATGAATTTACGATGGTAGACGGCTTGTTGTTTCTTGGAAAGGCAGGGAATAAAAGACTGTGTTCCCAGTAGTGAGTCTTTGCGTAGTTTATTTTTAGGGGAATGTCACAATGCGACTGGTCATTTCGGTTATTTAGTGCAGAAATTCTGGTGGCCTTCTATGATGGAAGATGCCAAGAAGTATGTTGAAACATGTCAGGTCTGTCAACGTGACAAACCTAGAACTCAGGCTCCGCTTGGGCTCATCAAGCCCTTGCCGATTCCTGAAGGTCCTGGTCAGAGTGTCTCCATGGACTTCATGGATACTCTTGTGACCAGCAGGTCTGGGAAAAGACACATCTTCGTTATAGTAGACCGCTTTTCAAAGTATGCAAGACTGATCGCTATGCCTGAGACTGCTAAAACCAACTATGTCATCAGATTGTTCATGGACAACCGGGTATGGGACTTTGGTTTACCTAAGTCTATCGTCAACAATAGGGATGTTCGGTTTACGAGCGAACTGTGGCAGAACACTGCCCAACAGGAACTAGACTGCAAATGACATCAGGGAATCTCCCTGAGTCAAATGGACAGGCGGAACAAATGAACAGAGTAGTGCAACATCTACTAAGGCACTACATTAAGCCAAGCCAGGATGACTGGGACGAGAAACTACCTCTCGTCGCCAGCCTGCTCCCAACCAACTGCATCTTGGTTGGAAGCCCCGTTCCGCCCTCGATTTCCTACTACCTGAAAAACAGGCTACTGCAGCACCCGGTAGCATAGAATTTGTTGTCACATACGAACAGATGTTGCAGCAGGCCGTTGAGCACATGAGGAAATCTCAGGATGCTATGATTGCGTCTGAGAATAAACACAAACCGCCTTCTAACTTTCAAGTAGGGGAAAGGGTCTGGGTAAAGTCATCTGAACTGGGATAGGAAATGGGAATATCTAGAAAACTAATGACGCAATATTTCAGTCCCTGGGAGGTCCTGGACATAGTGGGGGAACAGGTGGATGGACCTTCTTATGTGATCCGCATCCCACCTCATCTACGGACACACCGTGTTTTTCACGCATCCAAGCTGGCACCTTTCGCAGAAACTGTACAGTTTCCCTCCAGACGGTCAATGCTGCCCCCAAGCATGGATGGCGAAGTGGACATCGACCAAATCGTGGAGCATCGTCTGATGCTTGTTCCTTGACCACCGGGTAGAGGCCGCCCTCCTTAGCCGAAAATGCAATATCGGGTCATATTCAGACATCATCTGGATCCCAGCGAAGATCGGTGGTTCACCAGAGAAGAACTCATGAGAACTGCACCTAAAGTCATTGCAGGCTACGAAAGAGATCTCAAAGGGAAGATGCCTGAAGAATAGAAGACTTCTCAGAGGACTATCGAAGTACAGGAGGAGGGAATGAGAGGATCTGGGTCCTCGGCAGGCCTAAGGGCCCCCTGTTGCATCTGTGCCCGCCCTAAGTGAAGGCGGGCCTAACAAGTTACGAGAGGCCCTCGGCTGTCAATTTCGCATTTGGGGTCCAGGCAGTTTCGTCGCGCCAGTTGGTTGAGGAAAACACAGGCCGAGCAGCGAGACTTTCGACGGCCTTCCAGGCCTTTCCAAAACGATGCAGGCCCTGGACGAGAATGGCAGCCTCATACACAGACAGTTGGGAGGCCCAACCGAATGAGGCCCAGTAGCTG